GGGAACCAGAACAGGAATCGGTCGAAATCAGTGAAGAAGAGGCCGAACTCGAAGGTTAGGTCTATCAAAGGGAAGTGTTGGAACTGCGGCCAGGAGGGCCATATGTCTTCGGTCTGTAAAGCACCAAAGAAGGATGCGGGTGAGCAGGAGGCTCATATCGTGCAGGATGCCTTGATCCTTGCTATGGATAGCGATTCTGATTCTTGGGTCATCGACTCAGGAGCTTCTTTCCACGCCACTGCAAATAGGAAACTACTTCAGAACTATGTAGCAGGGGACTTTGGTAAAGTATACTTGGGGGATAATGAACCTTGCAATATTGTTGGAAAGGGCGACGTTCAGATACAGATAAAGGGCTCTAAGTGGAACTTGAAGAACGTGAGACACGTGCCGAAGCTGAAGAGGAATCTTGTTTCGGTGGGACAGCTTGGAGCAGAAGGCTACGTTTCGACATTCACCGGGGATTCGTGGAGGATCTCCAACGGTACGATGGTTGTTGCCAGAGGCAACAAAACGGGAACTCTCTACCTCACTTCACATGCGAGTGACACCCTCGCAATTGCAGCTGGCAAGGAGAGTACAGATCTGTGGCACAATAGGCTGGGGCACATGAGCGAGAAAGGGATGAAAATTCTACATTCACAAGGAAAGCTAACCGGGATCGACACCGTGGAAGTCGGGGTTTGTGAAGACTGCATCTTTGGGAAGCAGAAGAGGGTTAGTTTCCAGAAGGGTGGAAGGCCACCTAAGGCTCAGAAGCTAGAGTTGATTCATACAGATGTATGGGGCCCAGCCAGTGTGTCTTGGCTGTTCGAGATACTACGTCACCTTTATCGACGATCACTCGAGGAAGGTGTGGGTTTACTTCATGAAGCACAAGTCAGAGGTGTTCGAGATCTTCAAGAAGTGGAAGGCCATGGTCGAGAACGAGACAGAACTGAAGGTGAAGTGCTTGAGATCAGATAATGGTGGAGAATACGAGCTGGAGGAGTTCAAGAGGTTCTGTGCTACGAATGGGATTCGCTTAGAGAGGACTACTCCAGGGACGCCGCAGCAGAACGGCATTGCAGAGAGGATGAACAGGACCTTGACAGAGCGTGCGCGGAGCATGCGATTACATGCAGGTCTGCCTAAGACATTTTGGGCGGATGCGGAAATACTACAAAATAGAGAAGAGAGATTTTTGAGGGGTTTTTACATTTAATAATATTTATTTATATTTTCATTCAATTATGTGCAAACTAATCTAACAATAATTATTAATGGTATATTTATTCATGTAAAATAGATAATGAGGGTATAAAATTGTAATAAAATATGATTATCAGTCTTCTTTTGGCGGTTCGAGATACTACGTCACCTTTATCGACGATCACTCGAGGAAGGTGTGGGTTTACTTCATGAAGCACAAGTCAGAGGTGTTCGAGATCTTCAAGAAGTGGAAGGCCATGGTCGAGAACGAGACAGATCTGAAGGTGAAGTGCTTGAGATCAGATAATGGTGGAGAATACGAGCTGGAGGAGTTCAAGAGGTTCTGTGCTACGAATGGGATTCGCTTAGAGAGGACTACTCCAGGGACGCCGCAGCAGAACGGCATTGCAGAGAGGATGAACAGGACCTTGACAGAGCGTGCGCGGAGCATGCGATTACATGCAGGTCTGCCTAAGACATTTTGGGCGGATGCGGTGCATACGGCAGCATACCTTATTAATCACGGGCCATCAGTTCCATTAGATTTTGGGATTCCAGAGGAGGTTTGGAGTGGAAAGAAGATAAATCTCTCACACTTGCGGGTATTTGGTTGCGTGGCTTATGTTCATATCAGTGACCATGTCAGGGACAAGCTAGAAGCTAAGTCACAGAAGTGCACATTCATTGGATACGGCATTGATGAGTTCGGGTATCGCCTTTGGGATGAGAAGAACAGGAAGATCATCAGGAGCCGGGATGTGATATTCAATGAGGAGGTGATGTACAAGGACAGGGACAATGCCAAGGATAGCCAAAGCAGTGGGAGCAGCACTACGGATACAGGTGGATCCGAGTACATGGATTTGGAGGAACTTCCAGATGGGGGCGACGATGTCAGTTCTGACCGTAGAACGGAGGAGACTACAGGTGCAGAAGCTACTACCCAGGGCGTGGAGCCTAGGAGGTCATCTAGGGTACCCAAACCAAATCCCAAATACCTCTCGTCACTTGATTATCTACTCTTAACAGATAGCGGAGAGCCGGAGTGTTATGAAGAGGCAGTGCAAGTGAGTGAATCTCAGCAGTGGGAGCATGCGATGCAGGAGGAGATGGATTCTCTACTCACTAATGAGACATGGGAGTTAGCCCAGCTACCTGCACAGAAGAAAGCCTTGCACAATAAATGGGTCTACCGGGTCAAGCAGGAGAGTGATGGAAGCAAGAGATTCAAGGCCAGATTAGTAGTGAAAGGGTTTCAACAGCGGGAAGGAGTGGACTACACGGAGATATTTTCCCCTGTTGTGAAACTCACAACCATCAGAGTGGTGTTGAGTTTGGTAGCTGCAGAAGACCTCTTCCTTGAGCAGTTAGATGTGAAGACTGCCTTTCTTCATGGTGACTTGGATGAAGAAATCTACATGAAGCAGCCTGTTGGCTTCATTGAAGAAGGAAAGGAAGAGATGGTGTGCAAGCTCAAGAAGAGCTTATATGGTTTGAAACAGGCTCCGAGACAGTGGTATAAGAAGTTTGATAACTTCATGCAGAACAATGGCTACAGAAGATGCAATTCGGATCATTGCTGTTATTTCAAAAGGTTCGAGTCCAGCTTCATTATTTTGTTATTATATGTTGATGACATGTTGGTAGCAGGACCGTGTTTAGAAGAGATAAACAGTTTGAAGAGGCAGCTAGCAAAGGAATTTGCAATGAAGGATCTGGGTGCAGCGAAGCAGATTCTAGGGATGCGAATCAGTAGGGATGAAGCTGAAGGGACATTGAGTTTGAGCCAAGCTGAATACATTGAGAAGGTACTTCAGAGGTTCAACATGCAGAATGCTAAAGTTGTTAGCACACCCCTTGGAAGTCAGTTCAAGTTATCTGAGGAGCAATCGCCTAAGACAGATGCAGATAGAGAGCATATGAGCAGGGTGCCATATTCTTCAGCCATTGGGAGTCTCATGTACGCGATGGTTTGCACGAGGCCGGACATCGCCCATGCAGTGGGAGTTGTGAGCAGATTTGCAAGCAATCCAGGAAAGCAGCATTGGGAGGCCGTAAAGTGGATAATGCGGTACTTGAGGGGAACAACGAACAAGCCACTATGTTTCAGGAGGAAGGAGTTGGTGCTGCAGGGATACGTGGATGCGGACTTCGCCGGTGATCATGATACGAGGCGAAGCACCACGGGGTATGTTTATACCTTAGCGTCGACAGCAGTGAGCTGGGTCTCACGTCTGCAGAAGATTGTGACTTTGTCTACAACCGAGGCTGAGTATGTCGCGGTGACTGAAGCAAGCAAGGAGATGATCTGGTTGAACGGGTGCTTGGAAGAGTTGGATCTGAAGCAAGGGAGAGGAGTTCTTTATTGTGATAGCCAGAGCGCTATACATCTTGCCAAGAATCCAGTATATCATGCCAGAACGAAGCACATCGACGTTAAATACCATTTTATACGCTCGCTGATCGAGGACGGAAAGTTGCACTTAATGAAGATTTTGGGGAGTCAAAATCCGGCGGACATGTTGACGAAGGCAGTCACCATTGAGAAACTGGAGTTGTGCGCAACTTCAGTTGGCCTTCACGAGTAGAAGACGAAGGCGGAGCCACACTACGAGGATCGGCGCGATCGTCCGGGATGTTGATTGAAGAAAGAATTTTTCGGGGGAAAAGATACATGCGAAGAAGGGGAGAGTTCGGGTGAGCTCGTTGATGACGCTTTGGTCTCCAAGTGGGAGATTGTTAGTCTAAGTGTGTAGACCCAAAGCTGCAATCGAAAAGACGAAGAAAACAGTCAGAAGACTGTGCGGTCGACCGCAGTGGCAGAGCCGGTCGACCGCGTGCACTGCAGGAGACTGAGAAGAAGTTTTCGCTCTGGCCGGTCGACCGGCGTGGTCGCTGCGGTCGACCGATATCGTGCACAAGACCCTGTAGGATTTCGTCGTTCTGACCGGTCGACCGACCTTGGCAAAGCGGTCGACCGCGACGCAGATTCGCTGTTTCCTATTTTATCTAGGAATCCTGTTCTGCTGGGGTTTGTTATAAATACCCAAACGTTTTTAGGGTTTGTAAGACATCAAAAAGAGAGCTTTTTGGCTGCAAAGAGAGAGAGAATCTCAGAGAGATTTACCCCTTGTTTGAGAGCTTGTATTTTCTTCTTCAATTAATAGAAAGATTGTGTGGTGTGGCTCCCGAGGACGTAGGCACGTTGCCGAACCTCGTTAAATCTGTGTGTTCGTCTCTTTTACTGTTTTTACAAGGTTAGATCTTTATTTGTGGTTTATTCCTACTTTCCTACTTTCAACACAAGGTCCGGAAGGGCAAGGGTTCGATTGATTGTTTCGAATCCCCAACAATGTTACCCACCAAATTGGAGAGTAAGAAGAGGAAAAAGAAAGAAAGGGAAAAAAACCCCTTTCACCTAAGGGCGCGTTTGGTTGTCTCTTTTAGAGGGGGAAATGGGTTGAAAGTCTGCAAAAAGTGTCAATTTTGACAGATTTTCTTGCAAAAACGCATGTTAAAACTAACATTTTTAACAGACTTTCCCCTTCCCGACAAACAAACAGCTTGCTTGGTGCGTGCGCCTTTCTTTTTCTCATCGCAGGCCACATTTTCTGTGCTCTCGATGTTAACCCCCAAAAAAAAAATTTAAATTAAATTAATTTAAATCCTCAGATCAAATCCCCCATTTACTGGTCCCCGCCAACACTGGGCCCCTACATATATGAACTGTGATTGCCCTTTTATCTTAGCCTTTTATGTTATATATAGCCTCTAGCAAACGGAACTGTGTCCTGTTTCCCAACCCAGCCAATCCAAAATAACAGCCTCAAAAGCCCCAGATTTCTCTTTGCTGCTGGAGCTGTTTTTGCATGAACTGATGGTTGAAAGCAGGTTTCAGTTACTACAAAGAAAGGAATCTTTTCCCATGATTTATTGCAGCTTTGTTCACCCAATTTGATTCCCTGCTGCCGTGCCTCGCACGTGCTCCTCCTCTCATGCTTTTCATCCCCTTAAGATTTTCTTTCTGGGTAAGCAAGCCACTCCCCTTATTAACTTAATCCATCAATAATTTACTTCCTTCGTGATTATTAAGTACTTCCAATTATTACTTCCTCAAAAAGAAATTAGCGGAGCGTCAATGGAAAATGTTAGAGAAGGCGGCCATCAAATTCCTTCGTGGGCTTTCGCCGGCCTTCATCTTCTATCGAGGTCGACGGAGCCCGAATTAGACCGCCGAGAGATAATCCTGTTGGGGAGCGCTCATCTCTTGGGCCTGCTCATTGACAAGGCCCAAGTGAGGAGAGATTCATGGGAAGAGAGAGTCAAAAGAGCAGAGAACGAATTAACCCAGATGAGATTGATCAGAGCTGAGGACGCCAAAGCCAATGAGAAAGTCGTCGGCATCTTCGCCTCCCATGAACAGAGCTGGATTGCCGAGAGGAAAAGCCTCAGGCTCCAGATCCGAGCTTTGACGACCCGATTGCAATCATTAACAGCCAAAAACGAAGAAACCGTGTCCAATTTGAGCTACAGACTAACCGAGGCTGAATGCGAGATCAAAGCCAAGGACGAGGTCATTACTACAGAGACAAAGAAGAAGGAAGAGTTATTGGAGAAACTGCAATTCACTAAGAAAGAAGTGCAGGAACTGAAAGAAGAGTTCGAGAAGGAAGAGAGGGATCACAGGTCGGCGATGGAGATGTCGAAGCGAGAGCTCGACCGAATGCTGGAGAGGAAGGAGGAAGCAGGGATGATGGTGGAGAAGCTATCGGATAAGATTGGGAAGTTGCGGGGGGATTTGGATCAAAAGGATAAAATGCTGTCGGCGATGTTGAGGAAATCGAAGCTCGACGCGGAGGAGAAGGGGATGCTGCTGAAGGAGGTGAAGATGTCCAAGGCGAAGAAGAAGCAGGCGGAGCTGGAGATGGAGAAGTGGAGGAATAAATGGGAGTCGAGACACAAGAGAGGGTCGAGCTGAGTCTTCGAAGAGTGTTCTGCTAGATTACTTTGAGTCGGAGAGGCAGAAGGAGCAGCGGTTTGCGGCCGAGGGGAAAGCGGAGACTGTGGTTGCGGCTGTCAAATGCTTGGACCAGTACTCCAGTGAAGGACCTAATGACGGTATGTCTTATTTCTCCGTATCGATGCTTATTTTCTGTTAATATTAACTAATGCTGAGAACTCAGTAGAATTCCTGGAACGTGCTTTAAAGCTAGAATTTTTTTAAGTTAATTTACTATTTGGGTTACTAAAAGAAGTAGGAAAGCTCTTGCGGTTGAAAATCTTTGTGCATAAGTTTCTTTATCAAATATCTAGAACATGATTTACATGATCCATATATTTTCCTTACATGCGTTTTACAATGAGTTTGGTTAAGAATAGCTAGAATAGCAAATGCATTTACAACATGATGTAGCTCACACTCATAAGAAACACTCTTCAGTTTAAGTGTAACACGGATCACCTTTGAAGTGTAAAACTCTTCAGAGTTGCAACAACAACAAAAACAAACATCAATATTAATTGAAGATTTAGTGTATAGTTAAAACATATGAAACTCCAACAAACTTCTTTCCAAGCACAATCTTGATATTTCTTCATTGGATGTATATAGATGACAAGTTAGATCAAGTGTATAGTTATTGCCAATAGAAGGATGTAAGATTTGATTGATTTCCTTTAAGAAGACAAGTACTACGAAGTTTGCACTGCGCGATCATAGAATTAGGCCATAGACGTTTAAGCAATTCAATAGTTGAATGATTTGAATTTCTTTGAAGCAGATATACATGACTTTCAGAACTTGAAAGATTGGGTACGGATGGAAACGGAGAAATATGCAACTATACTTGAGCAAAAGCATTTCACAGAGATTGAAGCATTCACGGAGCAGATGAGGCTCAAAGATGAGAAAATAGAAGCCTTCCGTTGGAGATTACTTAGCAGAGATATTGAATCAAAGCGGCTGCAGTCCCAAATTGAAGTGCTTGAAGAGAACTTATCGCAGTTGAGGGAGGAAAACTTCAAATTCGGAGCACTTTTGATGGACAAGGAAGAGGAAATAAAATCTCTGAAAGAAGAATTGAGTTGCTTCGTCCATTACTACCAGAGGAACTGTCTTAAAAATTACCCTACTTCTCAGGTTTGCGAAGCTCTGACTGAAGTGGATACTGCAATGAAGAAACAAAGGAATATGGAAGTGGATAGTGAAATGGTTAATGATATTGCAGCAATTAGTCCGACTGATTCAGCACTATCTGCAGATAACTCTGTGGATAATTCCATCATCTGCATTGATGAAATAACTTCAAAAGAAGCTCTTAGCTTAGATCCTTATGAACACGCAAAAAGCATTAGTTTGATCATTGATTCCCATAAAGAAGAGACGGAAGAAGAGAAAGTTGTGTCTATCGACTCAATTCATGCATCATCCGTGAACAACACACATAAACAAGCCCATGCTTTCACAAAGGAGTCATCCTCGAGAATTGACATCCAAGCTCTTGGAGTCTCCTACAAGATAAAAAGGTTGAAACAGCAATTAATTATGCTCGAGAAATTGGCTGGGGTGAAACAAATTATGATCGGTGACAACCCCTGCGCTAGCCCCAAAGATAAGAAAGTCGAAGACAACAAGCAGAACCTAAAAGGGATCACATTAGTCATTTACTTGATGAGTAAACAAGTAAAGAGATTTCAATCTCTTGAAGAAAAGGCCAATGACTTGTGCAGAAGGATGGTAACTATCTGCCCAACTTTTTTTTTTTTTTTTTGCTGCAAATTCTTAATGATAACGTCAATTAACTTTTACTTCCTTTGTTTTCCCCCCTCAGCATGAAAATACTGGAGGAGGGAGCGCGAAAGAGCAAAGTAGAGTTCTTGGAAATTTTCTCGAGGAGACATTTCAGCTGCAAAGGCTTGTGGTTGCAACTGGCCAGAAATTGATGGACATACAATTAAAGATAATGAGTAGTATCAATAGCAGTGACGGTGGTCTAGATGAATCTGTAGGATTCAATATGGAGCAGTTTGCAGATGTTATTGGGACTCTATTCAGAGACATACAGAGAGGTTTGGAAGTGAGAATAGCTAGGATAATTGGTGATCTTGAGGGGACGCTAGCTTGTGATGGGATTAGGCATATATGAGGCTAGAATGAGATGTACTATCATAGACTGGTAGTTTTCTTGAGTTCGTCTTTACAACCTTGTATCATACACAGATGAACCAAATGATAAATAATTTTTTCCTTTTTCTGTGAGTAATGGGATGGTCTGAACTTCTGTTATTCCTTCATGAGTTAAGATTGTAATTAAATAAAGCTAGAATTTCTTTGGATGTATAATCTCCAAAGATTACTATTTTGTCTTTTCCCCAAAATTTTATTATTTACACGTAAATCCTTCATTAAAAAAGATACGCCAGGAACATTTACGCGCACTAAGTTCGTGCGCATGCATATGTTGAATTTGGATAAATACTACTTTTCTGTGATTTAGAACAACTCAGAAGCACTAATGTATAGATTGCTATAGCCAAACCAATTATTTAAATTACATGCAACAATCTGAAGTCTTTCGAGCGTTCTAAAAATAAAAATAAAACTTCATGGATGCTTACACGAACCTTAATTAAGGGGTGGGTGGTTAGGCCTAACCCTACCAACCAAAAACTTTACAGTAGTCAGCACCCCGAAATAGTTTGATCAGACTAGAGTAGGAATCATCAATCACCAAACTGTGGTGCCAATTAAACACCAGAATATGAATATATATCTTTTTCCATGACATTTCCTTAGATGGATGATCAATTTAGTACTTACCAACATCAACTACAACTACACTTGAGACAAATTGCCTCAATGCAAAGTAAAGCTCGACAAGCCATACGTGTTCGTCTAGGAAACAGAGAAGTTTTATTGAACTTGTCAATGGGAATAGATAGGTAATTGTTGACTTTAGTTGAAGATGACTCAAATGCAGATCAGTTTTGTTGCTTGTGTTTGAGGGGAAAGTCGTGTGTTGGATGAGAAACAGAATTGTTGTGCGCAGCGGAACTCTAATCACACGAACAAGAACGAGATAGATCACAACTAAACACAAGCACAAATCACAATCTCAGCAAGACAACGAATTTTACGTGGTTCGGCAAGTTGCCTACGTCCACGGGGCAAGGAGGGGGGATTCTTACTATTAGAGATGAAGAGAATACAAAATAGGGTTACAAAATCACTCAAAACCCTAAAACAAAGCTCTCTAAATCCCTCACTAATCTCCCACAATTGGATGCAACAATCCTCTCTCAAAGAATGCTCAAAACGCTCTTGCTTAAACCCTAGAAATCAACATATTCCTATTTATATCAAACCCAAACAGAATGCAAACAGGAATCCTAATACAGCCTAAAAACAGCACGTAAGTCGAATTAACAGAGGGCACAAGTCGACTTAACGGTCGCCAAAGTCGACTTGACCGAGCGCAAAACAATAACTGGAGAACAGAACGTAAGTCGACTTAACAGTCCCGATAAGTCGACTTGACAGAGACAAAACTAGCAACTGGATGGCAGAACGTAAGTCGACTCGTGCACGGGCATAAGTCGACTTATGCCTGTGCATGAGTTGACTTATGACAGAAAACCCAGTTTTTCTGCTTTCTTTCTTGAGTTCTCCACAAATCTCCACATAGGCGAAGTTTCTCCCAAAACTGATCAGACACCAAAACATCCAAATGCCCCGCTTGTTGCGTCCAGTACAAAGTGGAATAAATCCACGATAACAGACTCAATCCATAACAAGTCGGGAACCCAAACGAGAGCTCAAATAATCTCCCCCCCCCCCTCGAAATCAACAAATCCAACCTCGACTGCATCAAACATGACTGCCTACGTTTCCTCTTGCCCAAGAAATCAAGCCGAACGTAGTTCACCCAAATGGCCTCCAAAGACCCTCAACATTGAAGAATGTTCAATAGCTTCAAACAATAATCAAATTTCACACCTGAAATAACTTTGGTCAACATATCCGCAGGGTTATCCTTTGTATAGATCTTCTCTAATATGACGTCTCTATCATCCAAAACATCACGAACAAAGTAAAATCTAACATCAATATGCTTTGTGCGTGCATGATAAACCTAGTTTTTCGCCAAATAGATAGCCAACATGCTATCACAATATACACGAGGGTCTCCTGTGTAATCCCCAAGTCCTCCAACAATCCATACAACCACAAAGCCTCCTTAACAGCTTTAGTCACCGCTATATACTCTGCCTCTATAGTAGAGAGAGCCACTGTAGGCTGAAGTGTACATATCTAACATACCGGTACTCCTGCCAATGTAAATACATATCTTGTAGTAGACCGGCGTTTGTCAAGATCTCCCGTATAATCTGAATCCACTTAACCAATACAATCCTGTCTATTCTTCTCATCCTTCTAAAAAATCAAACCAACATCTACGGTGCCTTTAACATACCGTAGAATCTACTTCATGGCCTCCCAATGATCCTTCTCGGGGTCGTTCATGTACCTTGATACCATGCTCACGGCCTGTGACAAATCTGACCTCGTACGCACCTTAGCATACATCAAGCTACTCAACATACTAGCATATGAAACCTTCGATATGTAATCTCTGTCCTCAACTGAAACAGGTGACATCAAATTTGTAAGCTTGAAGTGGGGATCCAATAGAGTTCTAACTGTTTTTGCATTACCATCAAAACTGAATTTCTTTAACATCTTTTGCAAGTAGATCTTCTGTGTAAGCTGCAATCTCCCCTTCATCATGTCTCTCTCGATCTCCATACCCAATATCTTCTTAGCTTCTCCAAGATCCTTCATCTCAAACTCGGATGACAGCTCCTCTTTTAACTTTCGAATAGCCGAAGAATTCCTAAAAGCAATAAACATATCATCAACATATAATAGTAAATATATATACTCACAATCCTATAGCTTGTGCATGTAAACACATGGGCCATATGGGCTCCTTGTGTACCCCTGGTCAATCATAAAGCTGTTGAATCTCTTATGTCACTGTCGTGATAATTGCTTCAAACCGTAAAGAGACTTCTTTAGCTTGCACACCAAATCTTCCTTTCCTGTAGCTTTGAATCCCAAGGGTTGTGTCATGTAGATATCCTCATCTATATCTCCGTATAGAAAGGCTGTCTTAACATCCATCTAGACCAAATCCAAATCTAGTTGTGCCACTAATGCTAATAAAATCTGAATCGACGAATGCTTCACAACGGATAAAAATACCTTATTGTAATCAACGCTCTCAAGCTGTGCATATCTCTTGGCAACCAATCTGGCTTTGTACCTAATATCCCCAGTAGAAGATCCCTCTTTTTTTACACATACCCACTTGCAACCAATAGTTTTCTTACCCTTAGGTAGTTTTGCAAGTTCCTAAGTGTCGTTCTTCTGAAGAGACCGCATCTCCTCCTTCATAGCTTCTCTCCATCTGTACAAATCGGAGCTAGACTCTGCCTCCTTAAATGTAGAAGGAATCATATTATCAACGACCTCCACTGATAATGCATATGCGTCCATGATATCATTATATCTAGCTAGCCAACGAATCACCCTTCTAGGTCTATTTGTTGTAATGGACTCCTGAATATGACTCTGCTCCTGACTCTCACCATCCACTATTTCCTCTAAATGTCCGGCTGTCATCACATCTCCTCTCGGTGTCACCTCTGTAGGAGCCTCAATGGATACAATGCTATCTGGAGTGTGTGGAGTCACATCATCCTCCACCTGCTGTGATATCTCTCAAATCTGGTCTTCCTCCACCTACTGAGGAACTTGAGGCCTCATCATGTATACTTCATTAAATGTGACATCTCTGCTAATGACTATCTTCTTGTCCTGTGGATCTCATAACTTGAAGCCTTTGATACCTTCTCTAAATCCTACAAAGGCTGTTTTCCTCGTCCTCGGATTCAATTTAGCATCATTGATATGATAATAAGCAGGACACCCAAATATCCAAAGTGTCTCATAGTCACTAGCCACTGAACCAGACTAACACTCTATAGGAGTCTTCCCCTGTATCGTAGTGCATGACAACCAGTTCACGAGATGGTTCGCATAAACCAACGCCTCGGCCCAAAAGGATCCAGGCAACCACTCTGTGTCATCATACGTCGTACCTTCTCCAGCAACATACAATTCAATCTCTCAGTCACCCCGTTCTGTTACGGTGTCTCTCGAACTGTGAAGTATCGTCTAATGTCGTGATCCCAGCAAAACTGCAGAAATAGATCACTCTTATGAAGAGTCTTCACCTTTCTACCTATCTGTAGCTCCATTTTCTTCTTCCACTCCACAAAAATATCCAAGATCTCATGTCTATGCTTCATAGGCTATACCAAATTCCTTCTGGAATAGTCATCAATAAAAGTGACAAAATAGTTAGTCCCACCAAGTGATGTGTTCTTGGAAGGGTCTCAAACATCTGTGTGAATGTAATCTAATATATCTTGGGTGTTGTGAATAGTTGTGCCGAACTTCACTCTAGTCTTCTATATAAGTACACAATGCTTACACAGTTCCATCTTGCAGGTTTAGCACCTTTCAATAGCCACTGTTTCGCTAATGACTAAAGGGACTTATCACAAGTGTGTCCAAGTCACATGTGCCATAAGGTGGTAGTGTCCTGCTCTGTAGTGATAAAAGCTACCAGAACCCCTATAATTGTCTTGCCCTTCAAGTAGTATAGGAAGTTTTTTCTAACTCCTTGCATCATCACCATCGAACCCTTCGTGTCATTCACTATAGCATCATCTAAAGTCACCTGATATCCTGCTGCCTCAAACACTACTACAAAAGGCCCTATTAGCAATATTTATTTAATTAACCGTTGCTAATAAAGGCTATTAGTAATGGTTATGATAATAACTAGTTTTAGCTTCCTATTAATAACAATTTACTTTTTCATTTACAAATTAAATTAATTAAAATATCAAATCTGTTTTGAAATAAAATGAGGAAAATGAAAATTTGGGCGCTGAAAAAGTTAGAAAACCTACAAAATTGGGCGACTCCTTCCTTCTCCTCTCTTATTCTCTAACGCTCAAACCCTAACCCTAGAATTCCTACTACTTATTTTCTCCCCCAGTAGATCCTCCTCCATCCCCAAGCCAGCCTCCCCATCCCGAACCCCCGTTGAGCCTCCACCTGAAGGCCCGGCCCGACACCGTTCCCGGCTCCTCTCTCTACTCTTACGCATCGCTCGATTCTCAAGTTCCTTCGCCGAGGCAGCTCTCCTCGCTCTACCCCCATTCCCTCTTCATCTCGCTTCCGTTCCACATCTCGCGCTCAGCGTCGTCCGTCAACCCCAGGCCTGGCGCCCTCGGCCGCCATCTCCTTCTTCTCCGCCTCCGCGCACCACGACTCTGTCGCCGTCCGCTCCTTCCTCTATCTGAAGTCCCTCCCCTTCATCGAGATCAACTTCGACGTCTTCCCCGATACCGATCTCCTTTTTATCAATACGCGATTGCTAAATTAGGCTAAAAACTTCAGTAAGCAAGGATCTTTGTTATTAATTTTTGTGCTTTCTTGTGTTTTAATTGTCATCCAGTCATAACAAAGGTACAGTTATTTGATTGTTTCAGTTTATTTGATTATTTCAACCAACCATTGTCAAAATATTTTATTTCGGTTTATTTATTAGAGTTGGCAAGCATTATTGTCTATTTCTGTCTCTAGTTAGAATTATTTGTTACCTGTTAATTCAAGCCTTTGATCATTTTTATAGAGAATTATTGTTTGTTATGAACTCCTTGCATTAATTGGGATGAAATATTGAGTCAACCTTGTTAAATCCTTTCATTAAAAAGATGGTTAATGCGTTGCTCTTGCTCTGACGAACTATTGTCTGTTACCCATCTTAGTGGCAAATTCTAATTTATTATTTTTTACTTCTCAATTTTTCTAGCCGACTCCAAAAAATGGGGATACAAGCTTTGTTAATGTTGTTGCTTCAGCTGTTGTATTTTCTAATTTTTTATGATGTTTTTTGTTGCCTAGTGTTTCTTCTTGTTCTTATAGGCTAGCATGGCAATTCCATTTAAATTTATTGTAATGACAATGTTTGGATTGAAATTCTTGAAGTGTGATGAGCATGTTATGCATATCCAACATGAATTTTGAATCAACCGTGTATGAGCTTCTTGCACTTATGATCTCCTGCAGCTTTCAAAGACCATTTGTGCCAAAGAAGGGAAAGAATACGGCCTTATTGATGTCATTGTTTCTCCTACGGAGTTTATAAGAGTTTCAAGGCTTTGGGCATTAGAAATTTCTGACGGGCGTAAGCCTTGGATTTGTTCCCTTCATCGGACATATAAAATAGGCTCCCTTGTTGAGGCACGAGAAATATTAAAAGCTACAAGGCAACAAGCTAAAAAGATTACTCCAAACATGCCACAACACCAGGGGTGCCTTGACGCAATTGAGGAGGGAATCATTTTTGGAGGATATGTTGGTGTTTTGAAAGTAAATGTGCATGCCTTCCGTGTAATCTGATATGCTATCAATATAAAAGGATAATGATTTACTAAAATAGATTTTTTTTCACTTCAGGCAACAAAGCTTTTCAATGAGTTGATTTTATCAAGCACTTCAAGAGGCCTTGTTCATGTGTTCTTTTCTAAACGAGCCACATCTAAGGTATGTTCCAGATTTTCAATATAATGTTTTTCCCCTCCAGCAGTATGATGATTCAGGTATGCTTGAGTCTTTGTTGTTTAGTAGCATTTGGTGATGTTTGGTTAATCTTTTCACTAACAAACTGCGACAAGAAACTAATAAGGTATTATGTTTGTCTTTGTGCATATGCTTTTAAATTCACTTCTCTTTTTATTCTGGTCTTTATAGCATCCAGTTTGGATGACACCTAACATTATGAGAGGATTATAAAGTTTTCATTAGAAAAGGAAATGGTTAATACCAAATAATGCCATCATGATTATCTAATTGTAGCTAAAAGTTGCGTTTGTGGCAGGTGGTTAACAAGTATATTGATGAAGGAATAGCGAAGCTTGTCCCTAAGGTGCTATTTATTGATGAGGTACAGTTCTCTTACGATGTTCCAATTACTTTTATTTTGGAAAGGTCTAGTATCAACAATTATATTTTTACATCTGTTGGTTCATATGTTGCACATAGAATGATTTTCTTACCTAAATTATGCTTCGGAGACCTCGATATCACCTATAGTAATATTTGCTACAAATAGACGAATATGCAATGTGAGGTATTGATTTGCAATGGGTATAATGTTTAGTTAGAATCCAAATAAGCATCCAAATAGAGGACATGGAATGTTTTTTTCCTTTCCTCCTTTGCCTTTGTTCACAGCCAAATTCCCCTTGTTGAATTCAATTTCATGCTAAATTTATGCAGTCAACAGCAGCTTACAAAGCTGCAGTCTGGTTGGCAAGTGCAACTCCACCTCCTGCTCATGTTATTAGCCGAGGCATTGGATGGCAGGTCCAGTGTTTTCTTGTATAAAAAGTTCCACTAGCGAAACAATTGTTTGGATACACTATCTCATCATATTTATAAAACAACAGGGAATCGACCTTCTTTTAGATGGGCTTTTTGGCACAGGAACTGGTTCCACTGTCTCAGTGTAAGTCATCGTCTATTGAATATGTTCTACAATTTTGATTTTTTGTTTATCAATATCAGTAAAATATTTTACTGAATAATGCAGGGAGAATGTTGGTCTTCTTGGATCCACAAGAGTTGGAAGCCGAAGGGTCATACAAATATCAGCTGGTTTCATGATATTTTTCTCCATGTTGGGTGAGTGTTATCCTTGAGAAAATCAGGGATTTTGAACATAAACTTAACAATACTGACTTATATTTCTGCATCTTATTGCATGAAAATTTGGAGCACTTTTCGCCTCGATACCATTCATAATCTTTGCAGCAGTCTATTGTCTTCTGTTTGGATTTGTTGGTTTGTGATCTTCGCCTTATTCATCACTTGTATTACATGCCTTCTCTTTGTTCTACCTAATAATTGAAACTTTTTTCCTCTTATTTTTGTTACAGCGGCGGTAGGTTTATCCTTCTTACAGTTCACAAACATAAACTCTATGCACAACCTCTTCATTGTTGGTGTCTCCATCTTTCTTGGATTATCCATTACTCAATACTTCTTCAATTACAGCACGACTGACAGCCATGGTCCTGCTCACATTTGTTAGATTTGTATTTTAGTTAAGCGTTGTAGGATGTGGAGAAGTTGTGAACCTTGTAAATAGTCTAAACTCAAAGTTTTGTACTTGATTATCACTTCAATGAATTTATTGACAAAGCTTGTGTATCGAACATGCGTTATTTTGTAATTGATTAAGTTAATTTCTTATTTATGATGATAATTATTTGTTTCATTTGAATGATATCATGTATTGATATAAATGATTAGAAATAGATGAATATCATTGCTACATTTTGGATGCGAGAATAAGCATTAATATTTTGGTGAAAATATCTTTTTAATACCCTATAGCAATTGTTAGGATTTTGTTGATGTGGTATTTTATTTTTTTTAAAATAAATATTAAATCTTATAGTAATAGTTGCCTTTTGTTGTTAATAGACTGTAGCAACGGTTAGAATTTGCTGACATGGATTTTTTATTATTTTATAAAAAATAATCTAATAGTAACGGTTGTTATATTTACAACAGGTTTAGACCGTTGTAATATGCTAATTGTAACGACTTTAATAGTAACAGATTATTTGCAACGGTTTTAACCGTTGTTAATGTATTAGAAACGGTCTATGCTGTTACTAACAGGCCTATAAACAATGGTTAGAACCATTGCTAAAAGGGGCTTTTGTAGTAGTGAAAGTCCCAAGAGAAATGATGTTCTTCGTCAACTGCGGCACGAACCTCACTTTTTTCAACTCCCTAACCACACCATCATGCATCCTGATCCAGACTGAACCAATACCACCGATAGGGCATACATGGTCATTTTTCATACGCATAACATCCCCTCTTTCTAGCTCCTCAAAACTGGAGAACCAATCCCTCATAGGACAAATGTGATATGTAGCCCCCGAATTCAGCATCCACTCCGAAGAGTCGGCATAGCAAACCGATGGTAGTGCAGGACACGAATAACCTGAAGAATCTGTATCTGAATGTTCATTAATAGCTTTTACAACATTCATTTCTAAAGCTTGTACAGCTTTCCCCTTATTCTTCCCGGTCTTGTCCTTCAACTTTGAGCAATCGATTTTCTAATGTCTATCTTCTTTACAAAAGCGACATTGATTCCTACCAACACTCTTATAGCCACCACTATTCTTCGATTTTGAGTGGTTGACTTGGCGACGGTTTGGACTACGGCCTCGAGCTGCTAATAAATCTCCTGATGCCTTCTTAGAGGGTTCACCATCATTCTTCCTCAACTCATAATTCATTAACGTCAAGGTCACCTCCTTGTAGCTAACAATAGTTCTTATATTGATCATAGTGAGAACGAACGTACCATAATCATTCTCCGGTAACGAACATAAAAGTAGCATCGCCTTATCTTCATCCTCAACCATGATGTCCACATTAGTCATATCTGAAAGTAGCTTCATGAAGTTATTTACATGCTCCCTAATGGAAACTCTCATCTTCATCTTGAACTGGTAAAACATCTTCTTCAAGTGAAGTCGATTCTCAATGCTCTTAGTAAGGTACTTTTCATTAAGTGTTTCCCACGATCTCTTTGCTAACGTCTCGTTCATCACATCATAAATAAGATCCGGCGTCAAGCATGACCGAATAACTCCACAAGCCTTACTTTTCATCTTCTTCCAAACCATGTCCTCCATGTCAGCGGGTTTCTCTTGTAACTCAAGAGTCTCCTTCAAATTCTGTGCATCCAATGCATCCATCACCCGGCACCTCCACAAATCAAAATTGATCTTGCCGTTGAACTTAGGAACATCAATCTTTGTATTATTGATGCTCAGACTCTGTATCACCTTCGTAAGAGATGAACCTGATGTGCTTGCTTCTCCCATGTTATCGATCTAACTCTCCAAATAGGAATCCTTCAGCGAATCCTTCGAACAAGCATCAATCCAAACTTGAAGCTCTGATACCACTTGTTGTGTGCAGCGGAACTCTAATCACACGAACAAGAACAAGATAGATCACAACTAAACACAAGCACAAATCACAATCTCAGTAAGAAAACGAATTTTATGTGGTTCGGCAAGTTGCCTACATTCACGGGGCAAGGAGGGGAGAGTTCTTACTATTATAGATGAAGAGAATACAAAATAGGGTTACAAAATCACTCAAAACCCTAAAACAAAGCTCTCCAAATCTCTCATCAATCTCTTACAATTGGATGCAACAATCCTCTCTTAAAGACTGTTCAAAACGTTCTTGCTTAAACCCTAGAAATCAACATATTCCTATTTATATCAAACCCAAACAGAATGCAAACATGAATCCTAATACAGCCTGAAAACAGCCCGTAAGACGACTTACCAGAGGGCACAAGTCGACTTACCATAAGTCGACTTAACAGTCGTCATAAGTCAACTTGATCGAGCGCAAAACAATAACTGGAGAACAGAACGTAAGTCGACTTAACAATCCTGATAAGTCGACTTGACAGAGACAAAACTGACAAATGGAGGGCAGAACGTAAGTTGACTCGTGCACGGGCATAAGTCGACTTGTCATAAGTCGACTTATGTCTGTGCATGAGTCAACTTAGGACAGAAAACCCAGTTTTTTGCTTTCTTTCTTGAGTTCTCCACAAGAATAAGATGGCTCCACAATGGCAAACTATATTTCATTTCATGAGCATAACAGTATAAATGATCAAGTTTCTACTAATTTGACCACATGAAAATTAGCATTATTAAAACTTTAAACATCCATAACCTTTGACTTGAATGTCTTATTGAGGTAGTCCATGAGTCTTCTGAAAGCTCTTTCAAGCTCTACATTGGGAAAATTTGATTAAACTCCATTTCCGGCCATTTTCGAGATCCAAAACTCTTCGTGTAAAGTTGTTTCCGGGCTGTTTTTGTTATTTAGCCATTACTTGGCTCACCTTTGAACTATTTTGTGTTATTTAATTTTGGACTTTAAGTTTAACCCTAACTATTTAATTATTCATGTTCGGGTGTTCTAGGTTTTCAGTTTGTGAACGTCGGGAAATTATTCTATTTACAGATTATTAAAGTTTCAAAGTTTTTTCCTTGTTGCTTCAGTTATAAAATGCACTTTATTTTCTATTAAAAAAAAGAAAAAGAAAATGCACTTTATTATGTCAAAAAAATGCACTTTGGTGTAATATAATCCAAAAAAATTAAAATCAAGGACAAAAATAATATTTTCCTGTTCTTTTTAGCAATTACCTGCAGGTTTTAGGCTAAAAGTCAATAAACATGTAAATCTATCAAGAAAAATAAGGGGGGAAAAAGCATTTCGTGCAAAATATATCCCAACTACGAACTGTGTCTGCCTCATTATAGGCAAAAGCCGGGCTCAACTGTTATCTACGAACTGTTGCAGACGCTCCACCCAAGCTCCGCCATGACACATAGTTGGACTCAGACTACGCACGGCCCAATCTGTAGTCCGTTAGCATTTGTAACATGCAGCCCACAACCATTTCTGGACTAAAAAAATCACGGGAATAATTTGTTTGTAACGCAGAACGATGCGATCAGATGATCCGACCCGTTACAGTCCGCTGCAAGATCTCGTGTTTATTTGCCAGCAAATATAAATCACAACTAGAACAATTGGAAATTTGAAACGGCTAATAAAAAGCCAAGATTAAAAAGCAAGGAAGCAAAAAGAAAGCGGACATAACATAAAGGTGCAGGGGCCGGCTTCTTTGTTCTCGTGAATCACATAACCACAACTCAATAAAAGGGCATTAATTCAATGCCAAGGAGGAGCGCGCTGCTCATGCACGCATTCGACGCTCCTCCCTTCACAATTTAAACGCAACCAGCCCCTGGAGCTCTCGGCAGAGACAATCCGAATGGATCACGAGGAACAAGCATCAAGATCCGACCCNCTTGAGCTCCCGCCGAGGCTCTCAGCATCAACATCAGCAAAGGTTGTGAACCCTAACAGATTAACAAATCCCTCTTGCTTCTTGATTCGCGGGACGTCCTCTTGCTCTTTTGGGAAGGAGAGAAGAGGGAGGAAATTCGCGTGTTCAGAGTCAGAGAAGTCGTCGTCGCCTAATTCTTCTGCTTCTTCTTCTTCTTCTTCGTCTTCTTCTTCTTTCTCTTCGTTCAAGTCTTACTCCTCTGCGTCGGCTTCATCGTGTTATGTTGGTGGGGAGGAGAGCGAGGGCGAAGCAGAGGCGGAGCAGAGGAAGGTTAGGATTTTAAGATACAGGAAGAGGAGGATTTCTGCTTCTCACCTTTGGGTACGTTCTCTCAATCTGATTTACTCACTAACACCATTTTCCCCGCTTCGCTAAAAATATACTTGATTTTGCGTTTAAACACTAGGAACAAATGAATTTCTTTAATTGCCCTATTACAAAGTTAATGGAACTATAAAATTGATGGTTTTAAAGGTTGCTCAATTTGAATGCGGTTAATTTTGGGGTCTTCTTGTTAAGATTTCTCATCTGTTACAATCCCCGAAAGACTAATTTTCGGAGATTGTAGCCCCCTGTTCTCCTCAAGCTGACTGATCCTTGATCATCATAAACCTTAATTTTAAATTCAACATGTAAGTAGAACAGAGTGTCCAACTTGTGCCGCTCCAGTAAATTACCAGGAAAAATAACCTTTTTATATGGTGCTCTTGTTATAGATTTTGATTGAAATTTATATCACATATCAGGATTGAATCCTGTTTGTTACATGCGCTTATATATATCTTTTGGATTCGGATCCTCTCCACTACAAAAAAAACAGTGGAGGGGACCACTACATAATCACGGCCATTGATTATTTAGTTAATGGTTATGATTTTATCTTGTAGTGCAAATTAGGAATGAGTGCAATACACTGGGGTATGGTAAGTGTTAGATTTAGATTGTATCATAACCGCCTACTAAATAATCAACGATTGATATTAAAAGCAGTGGTCTCTCCACTATTTTTTTGTAGTGGAGAGGATCCTACTAAATAATCAACGATTGATATTAAAAGCAGTGGTCTCTCCACTATTTTTTTGTAGTGGAGAGGATCCAAATCCATATCTTTTTGGTACTCACATAAAAAACAAGCAGACTCGCCGCTAGGACAAAAATCAAGCGGTATCATTCTGTTATATAATGATAATGATAACGATAATAATATGTTCTAATAGGTTGGATCATTTTTTGGATTCAGACCCTCTTTGCTACCAAAAAGTAACAGAATACACATAATAGAAAGACTGCTATTTTTTAACTAATACACGGTTGTAATTCATCTTCTTTACTCTATAATAGGAGTAGGAATAAGAGAAATGAACATGAGGATACGTCGAGCGTTTCTATTAGCGAGGGTTGTATAGTATTTTTGCTTGTGATTGGGTGAACCTACCTAAACCTAACCCATGCCAAACTTTCACCTCCGATGTGAATTGGCTTGCCTGTAACTTTATCAACTTCAAATTCAAAATTTTAGTTCGATAAATTTAACTTTTCCTATTGGAAGCTTTTATTGAAGTCATCGAGTTATCCTTACTATATAAACAGGTGATCAAGCGCGTCACCAATTTAACCGCGCGCGAAATGCCGAAGCTGATTGAATGATCGTTGGATTCAAAGTTGAAATTAATTTCTCTATTTGGTTCCACATGCAGGCGGGCATAATTGTAAGGCTGAAGCAGGCAGTAATAGTCCCACATCGGAAGGAGAGGGACCACAGTATCTAATCCAAGCGGACAAGATCACGGTTTATGCACGGGAATTTTGAACTGAATCTTCAATCACTTGTATGCAACTTCTTCATCGTTGTGGATGAGGAGAAAAAGAAAATAACGTTTTTCTGATCGATACTATCACATAGCCTAGATATAGACTACTTATGGTGTTGTATGAGTTGTTCACTATATATTGTTCCAAATATTAGTAGATTAATTATTTAAAAAAAAAACTATTTAAAACTCTCTTTTTGAAAAAAGAAAGAGCAAACTGTTACTGATGGAATGAAATTATAAAACTATAGAATATTGATTATTGCAACTTACTGGCTCATGTGAAAAAAAGGTAATGGTCTTGTATACAACTAATTAACTCCAGTGTAGCTGTAACTTACTTGCCTCTGGTTGCATAGAAACTGTAAAGTTCAAAACAATTACTAGTTTACTCTTATCTTCCGCTCTCATGTATTTGCGATGAAAAACTATTAGAAATTTTAAAATAAACATGCAAGGTAAAATATATGAGGTTCGGGATAAACTATTATCTACATTCAACATGATCCTTTCCAATATTTCTCCTGCCCCATAAATTTAACCCTTTCCTCCACCTAATTTTAACTCATATATGAGGCTATAGAAAGGAGCTAGACAAAAAA